TAAAAGGTTTAGATAAACCTATACCTTGCCATTCTGAAAGGTTATAATTATACATGCATGTATTTTACTTTATAGGAGGGTTGTCCACAGAATTGGTGTTTCACGTGGCTCTCTGTACAGATTTGTCTGGTAATAAATGTGGGTGAATTTCATGAGTTGCCAAAGACCCTACAGTGAAGCTCTTGGGTTCTTTTAAGTTGTGTGTATGGATTATTTTCACCTGGTGGGTGAAAGGCCTTCCACTTTTCTTCCCTCCCTCCCTCCCCTTTTGGAAATATGAAAGCAAATGTTCAGAAGTTTTTGAGTCACTGTATCGTGTTCCCTGTGAAATTGAAAGGGTATGCGTCCCGCCTGAGCACCTGGTGCCTGGGTGCAGAGGAGAGGGTGGCCTGCGGGCCCCCTGGTCACTGAGCTGCACGGTTCCTGACTGGTGAGCCTGCCCCTCCGTGCTCCTGTTACAGGCAGCACCTACTGTGTCCTTCACTGCTGTACCCTCAACTCTGAATAAAGCTGTGTGCTTCCTTCCTAAGCACCTCTAGGACTCTCATTTTCTTGCTTCCATTGGTCTTTTTGAAGGTGCATCCCATTTTTAAAAGTATCAACCCTGGCACAAGCCTTTAATCCCAGCACTTGGGAGGTCAAGACAGGCAGATCTCTGTGAGTTCAAGGCCAGCCTGGTCTATATAGCAAGTTCCAGGACAGCTGGGGCTACAGGGAGACCCTGTCTCAAAAAGACCAAAAAAAAATTATCAACCCCAATTCCAAGAATCAGAACAAGGAGTGAAACCAAAGATATAGCAATTTTTTTAATATTTTATTTATTATTTTAATTTTATGTGTATGAGTGTATTGCCTGTATGTATGTAAGTGTACCTGTGTTGTGCAATGCCCATGGAGGTCAGAAGAGAGTGTCAGATCCCCTGGAACTGGAGTTATGAATGGTTGTTAGCCACCATGTGGGTGCTGGGAATTGATCCCAGATCTTCTGAAAGAGCAACCAGTGCTCTTAACTGCTGATCCACCTCTCTAGCCCCTAACAATGTATTTTTTAATATATATTTTTTGAGACAGGGTCTCACTACATGGCCCCAACTGTCCTGGAACTTACTACATAGACTGTCCCAAGCTGTCCTCTATCTCACAGCGATCCGCCTGTTTCTGCCTCTCAAGTGTTGGGACTGAATGTGTGTGCCGTCACGCCTGGCTAATATACGTTTTATTCTTTGAAAATTTCATATACAATGTATGGTGATATACCCATCCACCAACTCCCTCCCTCCAACTTACTCCACTCCTGCTTCCTCTAGTGCCCCCACCCCGCCTCACTCCGAAATTCGTGTCCTTTTTAAAAGTAATAATAATTTTATGTGCATGAGTGTTTCACTTGCATGTATGTAAGTACACCATGTGCATGCAGTGCCCTCACAGGTCAGAAAAGGGCGTCAAATCC